AAACCCAACTCCGCCGCCGCCGTCGATCTGGAGACCCAACAGAAGCAGCACCTCCGATCACTCGCTCTCTCTAAGAATCTCCTTCGCCACCCTTAAACCCTCAAACTCCGTCCTCGAACCCTCAAACTCCGTCCTCAAGATCGACGGCCGTGACATAGTCAACCGAGGCCAGCGCAAGAGCCGCTACCTCTTCTCGTTCCCCAACCTCCTCGCTCCACTTTCCGACGGCCGCGTCGGCGAGCTCGCCAATCCCAGCTCCAAGAACCCCGTCCTTTACCTCGAGTTCCCTAATGTCGGTCCAATCGAAACCCTAGATCTCAGTGTTTGTTGATTTCATTACTTTTCGTTGGTTTTATAGGTTTTTAATGAAATTATTTTAGGGGAGAATGAAGCTATTTGGCACACATGTTTATCCGAGGAACAAGTATTTGACGCTGCAGCTGACGAAGTCGGCAAAGGGGGTGATGTGTGAGGATTGCTTCGAGAGCTTAGTAAGTAGAATCACTGAGAAGAAAGCTGAGATTTAGTTTTACTCTGTATTTTCATTTGTTATGATAAATTGAAAATTTTGACAGGATTGTTGAATAATTACAGTGTTATTGAGTAAAATTAAACACTGATAGTTTGAAACAAACAACTTTGATTGTATTGGATTGAATGTGGTATGTGGCTATCGAATCATTTATCGTCATTACCAAACGACTAGTAAATTGTTGTGATCATTTCATTTATCTTCGATTGGTTATGGGGATCATGTTTATAAATCTTTATCGCATATTTCATTGGCAACTACTTGGCTTGATGACATTGTTCCTGAGGAGCTTATGCATAAAGATTGCTTGTTTTTTAATTGTGCAGAGCATGAACAAATTGTTGGGGTTATCTGCAAAATCTCAAGTCAAGGGAAGGGAATAGCTTACGATATATCAGAAAAAGTATGTATGGTAATTAAGAAGTCCACTGGTAAATGTTCTTTTAATTGTTTCACCAATCATGTAAAAGGTTTCTTCGGAATGTTAAGCTATTTAGATGATCAACTTCACAGAATCATTTTTGACATTATCTAAACCTTATATCCTATTAATTAGGATAATCCGTTGTGTAGCACAATCCTATTAGTCCTTGAGAAGCTTGGTTTGTTTTTTCATACTACAGTGTCGAGGCAATCTTGGAAGGTCTGCTTATTTCTTTTACATTTATTTTGCATATTAGAGGTGACTACCAAAATTTTGAGTGTATCCTTGACTCATGAGGTATTTCACTATTTCTAATTTGTTATGTATTCAACAAACATGCAGGATCTCAAGAGATGCTGAGAGATGAATTGCTGGCCACAATTGATGTAAGAGCAAGGTTTCTAGGCTGATGTCCTCGTCGAGGAGGTGTTTGCATGAAACTTACTCGATTCCGTAAAACAATGTGAATTCATCAGGACAAAAAGTTAGTTCAGGAATAATGAGATGGATAAGCTCAGAATCAATGGATGAAGGATGAGTCTGACAGCTGTTCGATTCGTGTAGATCGTGAAGTTATAATAGCTACTGCAAGTTGGAGTCTTTGTAATTTTGTTTATTTATTTATTGACAACAAAAAGGTTTAATAGTTCATGTTAGGGTGTAATTGTTTAATGTAGTTAGAGTTTTTGTAATGCTAAATTAATGTAGTTCATCTTGGTATAACATTCCTTTTGTTAATATAGATTATTAGATTAGTTCATCTTGGTATAATCTTACTTGCAGAATCAATATTTCATTTTTTTTTTTTTGCTTAATTCTTCAATGCACAAAGTAGCACCAAAAAGCACTGTAGCATTAGTATTCAGTATCCTAGATGGAAATCCATCTAGGATGCATCCTAGACGGAATTCATTTTCGTCTAGGATAGAGGGTATCCTAGACGAAATTTCCTTCTAGGATGCATCCTAGAGGAATTCATTTCCGTCTAGGATGTTTTCTAGACGAAAATTCCGTCTAGGATACTACATCCTAGACGGTATCTTACTGGACCAACATCCTAGACGGAATTCCGTCTAGGATAGCATTTTTAGACGGAAATTTGATTTTTCTAGACGAAATTTTTCGTCTAGGATACTCCGTTTTTTACTAGTGGAGGCAACAATTCAGGGTTTCAATTTAATCTTTTTTTCCCCTTCTCCCTGGCTTGCTTCTTGTCCTCTGCATTGCATTTGCTACTACAGCAAAACTTCCAAGGTTCTCATCCGCACAGATAAATGCAGCCACATATAACATGTTTAAGAACCCATATTCCACAAAAGAATGAACAAATTAAGGATTAAGAAAGAGATAATTCATTAAGTTGTTAGCTATTAGTAAGAGCAATAACAGTGTAAATGGCTGAGGTATTATGACAATGCCACTTCTCAGCATCTTAGCTTAGCATGCTATCCACTGCTTCATTTTGCGTCTTAGATTAGAAGAATTTCAGGTGCAAACGGTTCGGATATGATACTTACCAGATATGATATTTATCATATCCGTATCCGCTTACCAATCATGGATAGGAATATGGATAAGCCTCAATAAGGAAAATTCATATCCATTTCCGTTAAAATTGGATACGGATGTGGATATGTATGCAAAGTCTACATACGGATATACATGCAGATGCAAAATGCATGTGAGAAAAACCAGATAATATTGAAAAAATAAATAAAAATATATAGTTCATATGATAAAAGAAAGTTCATTAAAATGTTCCCCATAACCGAAAAGCTAAAGATTAGATCTCTTGCTCATCAAATCAACCTCAAATCCATTAATTTTGGATTAGTAATTATTTTGGGTAACAACCTTTAAAATGAAATAGTGGAGTGTTTGGTTCCAATTTTTACAAGGGATTAGATTGAACTAATTAGTATTTTAAAATGAAATAGTCCAGAGATTTTGGACTAAACAACCAAGGGAAGGGGGAGTTTGGTCCTGGTATTGTTCTCCAATTGGGATTAGATCTAAAAAGACTACATACCCCCCTAACCTTTAAAAAAATACCAAAGATTTTCTCTCTAATTATTTCTCTCACACGCGTCCTTTTGAACACTTTTATTTCTTTATACATGTTTGGTCCTAGTACTCGTCTATTAAAATGAAATAGTCTCTCACTCCCTCTCTCCCTCCCCCTCTCCCCTCCCCCTCCCTCCCTCCCTCTCCTTTCTCTCTCTCTCTCTCGCTCTCTCTCTCGCTCTCTAGTATTGCAATGATTTATTACAAAATTGAACCATAAATTAAATTATTTCTTTTTCAAGCTTACTGGACTTCATTTTTTAACATTTGAATGCGTGCTCTTTTAAATGCTAATGCTTCTTTTCGTTACATTTCATTATTTAGCTTTAGCTATAATGGTAAGCTAATCTTTTAAGCTATAAGTGCAAGGTATGAGTACACGAATTCATCCAAATAACTCAAATAAAAAATCTATCAGTACACTATAATACTAATCATAAGTTATATCTAACACAATAGGAAGAAAGCTAGAAACCAAAGCTCGAGATTACTTTGCTTTTTCATCATTAATTAGTTATAACTCACTCTTGGCAGGAAGAAGGGCATTTTTAACATTTACTATTATTTCATAATCATGTTTGTAATGATAAGTTTCCAAACATATATGTATTAGAGGTGATAATAACAAATTGAGCAAATAAATTATTAAAAATTTAATTCATTATAGTCTTCTGGTTTATTATATCCTAGGACCATAGTTGCATGGAAGCCGGTTAGTTCCGATTCACAGGACGGGCACACAAACGTGGTACGTCACTCACTAGAAATCGGTTACGAGAGGTGTAGACTTATATAGTACGGCAGGGAACACAGTACACTTTAGGTTCGGTTCCTAAATGCTTGTTGATATTAGTAATGGTAAAAGAACCTTGAGAATCATGTTGCAACAAAGATATGCATACTTTATTTGCTTAAATTTTCACTTTTTTTTATTTATTCTTTTAAAAAGAGTCATCTTCTTCCAATAGTTTAACTAGTTTGAATTTGAATTCTAAATTGGGTCGCTGACGTTGGTGAGTCGGGTCATGTTCCACGTGAATCTAGGACGATTGAACCTGGGTCGTGGTTTGCTATAGTGTCTACATTCCTGTCTTCTATGCCCAGGACTAGTGAGATAAATTAGTCCCGGGATAAAATAAGTCCCTAATCCAAACACAAGCTAAGCATTAAAGCAATTGTAATTGTATGACCAATATATATTCGGATATTTCACTGGGTCACCATCTCGCGTTCTTGGCCCGTGGGCCGATATATTCAGATATTTTAGACACGAATATTTCACTAATTATCCGTATCTGTAACCATATCTTATTGGATATAGATATTAGTAATCATATTTGTATTCTAACGGATATGAATAAATCCTCGGAGTCTGATTTTTTTCCTCTTTTTTTTCACTCCTAAATAACTAGAAGTCTATTTTTAACCATAAATTGACAAGAAGTAGGAATTCACTCGCACTCTTCTTTCAAGCACCAATGTTTTTTCCCATTTTTCTAATCAAAACATACAAATCATAAAGAGATTGCTGGAAAAGTGATGTATGTTACTCTTAAAAAAATTTATCAAACCAAGCTAACTAGTGTGTTTGGTAATCAATGTGTTTTTTTTTTTGTGTTTTTGTAAAAAACATCATGCCATGATGTTTCTTTTTCAAATGTGTTTTAAAAATACCATTTTGATCAAACTAGTTTGACCATTTATATAGCGACAGTGGGCGGGCGGCGAAACCGGTAGTCGGGTGGCGGTGTGCGCGACGACTAGCCGACGGGAGGCCGGGCGAACGACAGACTGTCGTTACCGATGGTTAGCGGCGAGTGGCCGACTGCCGACCGAGGACGGCGGCGACGGTCCGACGAGTGGCAGGTGCCGCGGGTGCCAACGGCGGTGGCGGCGAACAGTGGTGCCGACGGGTGGCCGATGGTCGGTCGATGAGCGGAACGCGACGAGCCGACGGATGGTGACCGACGGGCGATGGCGATGGCGTGGCAGTGGTGACGGCGACAGGTGAGGGTGGCCGGGGCCGCCGATGGGCTGTGTGACGCAGCCCGGCAGGTGGCCGATGGTGGCGAGTGGCCGACGGGCGTGGTGGCAGTTGGCGACGGGTGGCCGACAGACGGGCGAGGGGCGACGGACCGACTGTGGCGGCCGGCGGGCGAGACGCGACGGGCGGCGACGGTGGTGTGTGCTGACGAGTGAAGGGTGGCTGGCGACGGCTGACGGGCGGTGACGGCGGGCCGAGGAGGCGGCGGTGGTGGCGGTGGTGGCAACGGCGGGCAGCAGGCGACCGAGGGCCGGCCACGGCGGGCAGCGGCGACGCCCGGACAACGGGCGGTGGCCGAGGGCCAAAGGGCGGCGGGCGGCGGCGGTGGCCGACCAGCGGCGGCGGGGTGGCGGCGGGCCTGCAGCGGCGGGCTGAGCGGGCTGCGGCGGCTTAGATGAAAAAACAGAATCTTAAAACATATTTTTGGTGTTTTGAGAAAAGTGTTTAATTTTTAGATTTTGTAAAGGGACAAGTCAAAAAAACACCCCGGTTGCCAAACGTGTTTCTTTGTTTTTGTTAAAAAAAAAGGTAAAAACGCCACGGTTACCAAACGCTCCCTAAATTGTTGGTGACATAAGAATGCTCATTTTCCCACTTCATTTTGCAATTAATTGACCGCAATTCATTCAACCACCGTGATGAACCTAGTAACAGGATCCAAAATATGGAATTGAAATCCAACAATACATCTAAAAGATGAAATCATTCAACATCCAATGTCTACAAGAACAAACAGGCCTTGCATGACCTAAATCTCAGATCCGGATCATGATACCTAAGATTAACACTGGAAGCCTTTGAAAACATTTGGAAATAGTTTCTTCACTCTGCCAATTTGACCAGTCATCAACATATACCGGGCTATAAGCTTATCAATTATGAAAAGTAATAAAATTAGGATGGTTACTGTTAACACCCTTAACCAGTGTAGAACTCATGGGGAAAAGCCGAAGGGGCAGTTATCCTGCTCCGGAGATACTAGGAAATCATGCTCGTCCATCTCTGCAGTAATCAGGCACGGCCTCCCCTTATAAAATTGACCCTTTTCTGACTTGCCGTTGAAAAGAGAATTAGTGCTTGCAATTGGACAAACTACGAACTACCCTGCCACTGACTTTTCATTTTCTTTCTTTTGTCTCAAGTCTGCCATTAGATAAGAGGTCATAGTAGCTTTCTGTTTTTTCCCATTGAAAAAAAAACTTTGCCACTGCTCACACAGAGATCCAAAATTGTAAGATGACATTTGAAACATCAATGCTGCCTCATAAGTGCATGTGCCCACTCCAATATTTTAATTATTCACTCCCTTATGATCAGTTATAACCAATTATGCAAGCTCCTGGGCACCAGTATAATGGATAAATGAAATATAAACAAGTCAAACAGCAAGCATTTCTAAGAACAAGTGAATTAGGTAAATAAATTTCAGCTCTGTCGTGAGCGGACCAGGAAGAAGAAGAGCATCCAGTCACCGCTTCTGAAGTTGACAAGTGAAGAAGTTTCATGCAACTTCTTAAAACAGAGCTCATCACAGGTTTTACTACATATTCGTACTTGCTAGGGATTCTATGCCTTGGCTAATGTGTTTCCTTCTTAGATCTTTTTTTTAATAAATAGCAAACACCCTAACATACGATACCTTCCAAAAGATCAAAAGGAATTAAAAATGGATGATGATATATACATATGTCATATTGTATTATTCATATAAAAGATCGTATGGTGTTGAAAATTATTACTTTAACAGTGTTCAGACTGAAGTCGGAATAATCAGAGAAAGGTATATTCATATTACTGTTCAAATAAAAATAATTTTATGTTTAATATGGTTATACTTGTACACGTGACCTACGATCCAAGGTTGGACGGTACGGGCCAAGGTCTACCATAATAAGAACAAATGGCTTACTAGTTTTAATCTCTTTTATATGCTGCTTTGTGTGACACGTATCTTTCAGTTTCTTTCTCCTAAACTGACTACATTTATCCTCCCCTACTCTCGCATCTATGTGCACTAATACTCCGAAGAAATACAATCGTCAAAGATCAAATGGGAAAAACTCTGCCACTCCACTAGTCCTGTACAGAAACAAAGGTGGTCCATATACAGAATATAATTTTCAAGAGAGAACTCAAAACCATATGAAGGATTCAGTACTGAAGCGATAGCTTCAGGAAAAAATCTCTCTAAAGAAAACATTTGTATCAAACAGATGACACACCTCCCCAACTTTAATGTTTTGGGCCCCATCTCCATGAATTATCTTTGCAATATAACCTTCTTCCATGCATTCCATTTCGACGGTTGCTTTATCCTACAAGATACGGATGACTTGCTTCATAAATACAAATGAGTAATTGCTGATAAAGCAGAAGCTAAAATGGTATACTATTTATATGAGTATCCCACCGTTTCAACTTCACACAATACGTCTCCAGGAGAAACTTTATCCCCTTCCTTCTTCAGCCACCTTGCAATATTTCCCTGTAACAAGAACCATCACTTGCAGTCCACTCTTTAGCAAATGTAGTCTTCAGTAAGCAAGATAACAGGTCATACCTCAGTCATGGTTGGAGAAAGAGACGGCATTCCAATTTCTTGATGAGGATGTATATCTGAAACCAAATGATAAATAAGTTTTTTCAGTCAGATAATAGACCTAACAGCTTCAAGTTGTAATGAGCAAGAAAAAGACTCGTTGACATATAATATTCAACAAGAAACACAAACTACGATGCAGCAAAAATAATTGAAATTGATTGCTAAGCACCGAAACAGAAAATTGAAGGGGCAATTTTGTGAAAAAGAAATTTCTGCAAATCCCAATGATGACAATTATCTAGCTGCAGGATGAATAGAATATTGGAGTTATTTTTACATTTTGGTATTCCCACACAAGATACATACATGTATCCTTAGACTGTGATACTAGATACCAAAAGTTTGAGTGTGTTTCATCACAAAACTTATCATGATATAAAGCCAGCTGGTGGATGAAAACTCTAGGTTAATACGTGAATCGTCAAAAGATAAAAGTACAGTTTCATATGTATCAAAATAGGAAAATACCTGAATTACTTGAATAACATCTCTGCGCTGCATGTACACTGGTGATAACTAAGCAATTAGAAAATCATGTTTGTATATCAGCTTAATGGCAAAGAAAAGGGATGAAAATTCTTCACAAACCCTGAAAATGAAGTTTTGAGCACCATCCCAGTCATCGATGTACTAATTTTAGATGAAACTGTAGAGAAAGCACTCAAAGACTTGCCTGGAGGAGATGTCTAAATAAAACAAATAGTTACAATCAGGTTAGTACATAGAAAAATTAAGATATCAAGAGAAATGGAAATATTTCCCTTTTCCATTACCTTGAAAACGTCAAAATATTCTGGTTGGCATCCACCCTTCGCTTTCTGAGCTTTGACGGGAATGTCTCCAACACAAAAACTGGAATCACCAGCCTTTTTGCCATGCAAACCACATTTGTTACTTCCTAAATTTTGAAAACAATCAAAAAGGGAGGGAGAAGCCATAGTATGCACTAACAAAATTGACAAGTAAGAAAACTATAAGGAGATTATTTAAGTAAAACGTCAGTCAGGCTGATTCAACAAAATAAGCATGTGCTAAATAATCCATCAACCACTTCCCCTGTACCTGTATGGTCAAATTACGTCCTGAAAAACACGCGACACATGAGTAATTAAGCAGTTAGTGCATTTTCAAAAATCAGTCCATTTGTCAGATAAGAAACCACGAATGCTCCACGTAAAACATGTGGCATAATGAACTGCTGATTCATAGATCTTAGAGTCACAAGAGGATGTGCGCTCTATTATAAAGTATTAACCTAGAAAATTCTAGAACTTTTGATGTTTGAAAGCACTATAACTTTGACATCTATTATTACTGGTGACTGGTAATCCAAGATCATTTTTCACAAACTCTTTCTGACACATTAGTGTCAACGTGAGCATGAAGCTGTTGAAAAATTTACTTCACAGAAATTTGTTTATAGTAATTTTCTAATTCATAAGAAAAGATTAAGATGATAAAACAGTTGTCCCAGTCCTGTGCAAATTCTCCTTATGCGCCTCACTGAAGCAAGGCGCGCACTTAAAACAGATCTTTTCCAACATATGATATACAAGTATGAAACGTGATTGTTCATAATTTTCGAGTTGGCACTCTTAATTGCTAGTGGACATGAACTTGTTTGAAGTAATAATTCAGAGAGACGCATTCAATCAAATGTTTGGAATCTTTCATCATATAGATGAACAATTATTTCCATAATATCATTGTTTCTTCAACTGACTTTTAAAGTTGCACACTTATACTAAATTATTAATTGCTTTTTTCTTTTTATAGGTTAAACATGAAGAGATGGAGAATGAAGTAGCAAGATGCAATCAAATATCTCAATTCTCAAACTTTATAAAAATAAAACATCAAAAAGAGTAAATTAGATGCATAGAACATCAAAAAGAGTCTATTAGATGTATTAAACATGTGTAAAGAGTAAAAAAACAGTAGATTATCACTAAAGAAACCAAAGATTTAAAAAAACAAGAAAACGGTATATTTTCACAAAAAAAACAGAAGAAAAAAAACATGCATTTACTGCTACTCTGAGATGTGATTGCCTGTGGCTTCTCTGAACGTCGTCGGCGGCTTCACCACTGGTCACTGGAGATGGAAGAGAGGGAGTAGTGAGCAATCGAGATGAGACAGAGAGGAGGCGAGCGATTGAGATGGGAGAGAAAGCGGCGGAAATAACAAAAGCAAAACCCTAAAGAATCAATTGGGTTTAAGAAAATATCGGGTTTTATACCCAACACACAACTAAAACAAACTGTATCACTTCTGGGGCGCACACTTTGGTGCGTCCCCACCTTAGGCGGAACGCGCTCACAAGGCGCACGGAAGGAGCGGACCTTGTGTACGTGTAGCGTTCCGCCTCTGGTACGGGGCACAATTTCACCAACCCACATTGCCTCGTGCCTCGGGCGTGCTTGGGGCAATCGCCTCAATAACACTGCAGTGTGCAATAATCTAATTCAATAATATTCTCTATATATTGTTTAAAAGGATGTGATGAGTTCAGTTATATTAAGTTGTTAATCATACGGCTTCTTCGGGTGAACGAGGTGATGGGATCTTAAAGCGTATTACATAAGAAAAAAGGTTTGTTAGAGGCATTCAGATTACAATTTATATTAGGCCAGAACAAAAACAAACTCTGGTCATTACGAAGAAAAGCACAATTTTGAAAAAAAAAGAATATGAACCTTCACAAATCCTCCTTTTATACTTATAAACAATTCTTAATTTTGATTTAAGTACGAAATAGAAACTAAACATCTTAGGGGTGGGAGGGGGAAGCCTAAGCCGCTAAAAAATAAAATGAAAAAGAATTGTCATGTATGTAAGTAACCAATAAATCACATATTTGGAGACAGGACCGGTCCTGAGCATTCGGTGGCCCTAGGCGGGGAGGGAACGACGGGGAGGGCCGCTGATAGACCACGATGTGGCGTCGGGGCTGTGGTGAAAGGCTGAGCGAGGCTGCGTCGGGCGAGGAGACAGCGACGTTGAATGAGGGACGAAGGAGGGGCTATGTTCGCGGGGTGGCTGGAGGCTCCAAGAGTGGTTGATGAGAGCAGAGGAGGAACGGCGGGGAGGGCTGCTGATCGGCGGCGATGTGGTGTCGGGACTTACGGTGACGACGGGAGGAGACTGACGTCAGGCGAGGAGAGCAACGATGTTGATGAGGAAGAGGAAGGGCTGTGTTCGGGGACGAAGAGGGAGAAGGCGGAGCGGTGTTTTGCCGTTTTGGTGAGGGGCTATGCTTTTTCACGAAGTTTTTAGGGCCCCTGTTTTTGGGGGCCCTAGACAATGGCCTCTCCTGCCTATCCCTTGGGTCGTGCCTGTTTGGAGAAAGAAACAGTGAAGGAGTTCTTTAGCGTGTCGAGATAGAGCACTGGGATATGGGCGGAGGCTAAAGAGGAAGTTGAGAAGTATTAAGAAGAGGACTGAGTGATTAGTCTTAGTGAAAGAGGAAGCCCGAAGTGAGAAGTATCAAAAAGAGAACTGACCTGGGAAGAGGGGTCTATGTTACTGTAGACAAATAGTTGGATGTTTCATTTAATGAAGTCGAATAGTTAATAGTCAGAATATAGGGTATAAGAGTTGGTCATGTCTACAGTCAGAGAAACACTTTCTTGGTGAGCCAGAAGATGAGGATCTTTTACTTAAACAATTGAGAATTAGAACTTTTATCCTAAAACTGTAAGCTTCATATATTAGAACTTTATCTAATGGACTATGTAGTATGTACGGAAATACTATTGCCATGCTTCAATTTTAATCGTGGTGAGCTTAAAAACTAATTTATGTACAGCCAATATTACAGATTACACTAGGCGGACTAGGCGTTTGAGAGAACGCCTAGCGCCTAGACGCCTAGGCGTACACCTAGACGTTTGGCTATTTTTAAAATTATTTAATTATAATAAAAATATGTATTAAATTCATATAAATTTGTAAAAAAAACAATCTTAGATCTACAATAAACCATGCATACTTAAATGCTAAATAAACAAAATAATAACTAATAAGGTTATAGAAAATGCTAGGAGGCCTAAGCGTTATACCTGTCGCCTAGAGCCCAGGAGGTTTTCTTTTTTATTTTTTTAATTATAATAATTTATAGTAAATGTTAATGTTAAAGTTTAGGTGTCGGATTGGTGTCTAGGAAGATTTTTTTTTCATTTAAGTGGTGATCGAGGAGGTTTTGCTAAAAGTCTGAAAAAGTAGTGGAGGTGTTCATATTTGAAGGTTAAAGGAGTTTGAAAGAGGTTGGAGGATATGGAGGCAACAACACAGAAAATCACGATCAATGCCTAAAAAATACAGTCTACATAAGCAGATAAATGTTCCCTAAACACTCCCAAAACCTATGTGGATAGCCTAGGTACCGTCTAGACACTAGACGTTAGTTAGATGGCCTAGGTACCGCCTAGGCCTAGGCATACGCCTAGGCGAAGTCTTTTTAAAACAGTGTGTACAGCTATATAGATCGGTTTGGATGGTCTCAAAGTGATAAGTTGTTGAACACCCTAAATAGAACTTCTAATTGTGTGCATAGATGTGAATTTCTATATGCACATGACAAGGGTCTTTATTCCAAATCTTTGAAGCGCCCTACATGAATCCTTTTACCACATTTCGCATCCCCAAGGTTCAACTCCTCTACAACTATGTTAATAAAAAGTTAGAATGTCCATTCTACCTCACTAAATCCATGTCTCCTTTCGGTTTAAACCTATGCCCTGTTGATACATCAATTATGTCCCTAAGGTTAATAACTTATACATTTGTTATTCTCAATTGCACGTGTTCAAATTATCTCAAATGATTCATTTTCCCCCTGAACTAAGATTATATCTAACTTCAAATAAGCATTTGTAACTCCTTCCATACTGTTGCTCAGGCTAAATTACCAAATTAGTTTTTTTTTTGTTGACCCCACTTTTTTTGTTACTTCGGCATCATTTTAGTAATTTTTTCATGGCCTGATGGTCAAATAGGTCGAAAACATTGGCCGCCAGCCAAAATTTGAAATTAGTACCTCAAATCTTCACTTTTTTGATATTAGTCCCCCCACTGTCCCTTTAACCACCTAAACTTCCTCTTTTGCCTCCACTTCCTACCCTCTCCCTGTGACTCCGCTGCCAGCCTTTTCAGACCCAGTCCTCCCTCTTTCCCCCTACAACCTGCCGCTTTCCCCTCCCCTCTCCCATTCTCTAAATCCTCCCGCTCATAGATACAGAAAGAAATTTTGAAGGATATCATTCCCTCACTATGAATTGGTGTAATATTGAGAATCACACTTACTATTGACAACCTTTTTTTTCCTTTTTCATCTTCAAAGTTCCTCATTCCTTTTCTTCTACCTTCACGGTTTAATTTGTGTGATTCTGTGCAAGGGTCTAGATGCTTGTAGCATGCTTTATTGTATATAGCTTGGGAGTCTCTTTGCCCTTTTTTTCTTAATTTCAGCATGGTAAACCAAATGACTCAGCCAGTTCCAACACCAACAATCGCAGCTCATAGATTCTAATTGACTCCCTCTGCCATTCTCTATGGCTAGATATCAAATTAGTAAAACAAAAGAGATCAAAAGAATTAAAAGGGATGTATTAATCAATCTGGGAAAGTTAAAAGGAATATACCCAATAATTTTATTGATTTGGGGGACTAATATCAAAACATTGAAGATTTGGGGGACTAATTTCAATTTTTTTGCCGGCAGCCAACTTTTTGGACCTATTTGACCACTGGGCCAAGAAAAAAACCAAAATGACGTCGGAGTAACAAAAAATACCGAAGTGGTAAAGTGGGTCAACAAAAAAAAAACCAAAGTGGTAATTTAGCCTTTTAGCTCATGTTGTTGCTCAACGCCTCAACCATCTAAACAGTATCAATTTCCACTACGCATTTCTTTTAGTCGTGCCCCTAGCATATGATGCATATCATTCCACATAATATGACTTTCCTGTTTATGTTCCTACTACCTTCTATTTCACTTGGTTCTCCAAATCTATCAAGTTTTCACCTTCCACAGCTCATTACCTCCTCCTTACTGTAGCTATTCTCTTTCAATTCCAAATATTAAATATCTTAAAATTATTTGATTCACTTTTAAATGATATATCAAATGCCCCTCACTTTCTTCGTCAATAACATGTAGTTGATACGGTAAAGGTCATGTGATAATTACAAAATAAAAAATCTATATTTCAACTTTTGTTTTAGTTCCATGTCAAGACATCCAAACAAATTGAAGTAAATGAATCAACTTTATTGCTCCTTTTTGGGTCCTAACAAATTAAAAGAAAGAAATTTTTCATACCATCTATTCCGCCGATAAAAACACCAGAATCCTTTGAAAAATACCGGACAAGAACCGTAGGCTCATTCCGAGCATTTCTCAGCTGCCAAAATACAAACGATTGTTAGCATCAAAACCCTAAAAAATTAAAAAAAACAAAATTTCAGATCGAGTAGTATTTTCTAGCAAGTTGAACAGATTCGGATCGATTTTTTGAAAATATAACAGCGATCTCGAGAAAACTGAAGGAATCAAAGAAGAAGAGAGAGAGCAGAGACCCGTCGATTAGCGATGGTCGTAACGCGCCACATATTGCCGATAAATCGCTGCTGCTACGATCGGGATCGGTCTTTTCGCCGGAGATTTATTAGCGGGTGGACGATGACTAGGGCTGCGTTCGTACTACGCTAATGGGTTCGGGCAATGTGGTGTCAGGAGTAATAATGTTTTTATGCCTCCGAGGCTCCGACAGATCCTTAACGGGTCGGGTTGTATACAAATTATTTTTGGGTTTTTTCGATATAGAAATGTTAGGGACACACCCACAACCACAATCTCAACCACACCTCTACTCTCTCTATAGTGCATTGGGACCCACATAAAATTTTATTTTCAAATTTTTAAAATTTCATGTGGGTCCCAATGCACTATAAAGAGAGTAGAGGTGTGGTTTGAATTGTGGTTGAGGGTGTGTACCTAACACCCCTCTGTTCGATAGAGCCCTTGTCTTTTCCACATTCCCAATATTATATAATTATATTATTAATTATAATATATATATATGATATGATATATATATATATTATATTATACTGTATATATATATAGTCCCTCAATCATTTATAATATATTAGATCTCTCAAATCTTCCAAAAGTCCTGCCAATTTCGTGGCTTTGGTTAGTTGACGTTCAATTTGAAGTGGAATATTCTGATTTAGTTAACAATTTTCTCATAATATAGTATATAATATATATATATATATATATTATATATATATATATATATATACTATATATATATATATATATATTATATATTTATATATATATATAGAAGAAACTGTGTTCAACTTAAGTTGAATATCCACCAAACTTCCCTTAACCGTTAGATGATTTCCTATGGATTTGCATGATTGATGAAGTGACTTTTATCATATAATGTGGTGTGGATAGAAAGTTGGTTGGATAACTATTCCCATCCATTAAGTGATAGGATCCTACTATATATATATTATATATATAATATATATATATATATATATATATATATATATATATATATATATATATATATATGCCACGAAACTTTTCTAGTAGTAACTCCAATAGTACTGTAATTATATTAATATATAATATTATAATAGTATAAAGCATATATATATATATATATTATATATAGTAGTAATAATATATATATATAGTATATATATATATAATATATATATATATATATATAATATATATATTATATATAATATATAGAGCAAAACTTCTGTCAACTTAAGTGGACGTCCACTAAGTTTCTTATCCATTGATGATCACTTGATTGAGCTACATTGTGGATGATCCGTTCCGTTCAACTTGATCTACATATTCTAAAACCCCAACACACCAAATTTGGGGTGAACCCGTCGTAGTTTGACCCTTCATCCACTCGTATCAATTTTAACGGTTTCGAGTGAATAGAACTTTTTACATGGCTCGACGGAGGGTCAAACCACAACGAGTTCACACCAAATTTGGTGTGTTGGGGTTTTAGAATATGTAGATCAAGTTGAACGGAACGGATCATCCATAATATAGCTCAATCAAGTGATCATCAATGGATAAGAAACTTAGTGGACGTCCACTTAAGTTGACAGAAGTTTTGCTCTATATATATATATATATATATATTAATTATAGTACTATTGCAGTTACTACTAGAAAAGCTTTGTGGCATCCATATAGGAGCTGTTTGTTTCAACCAATTTATAGAAAGGATTGGTATTTGAATCTGATAGTGGCAAAAGTATAATATTTGGATTCTTTATCAATCCTATTCTAGAGTTTGGCTCAGAAAAAATTTATGGACTACAAAATCCATAAAGGTGCAACAGTAAGGGTTTTTTTTATAGAAACCCAAATCGGGGCTTTTTGAGAGGATTTGGGCGAAATTTCTGACAGTGGTCTTCATCTTCGTTTTCAGATTCCTAATCCTCACGAGCACGAGCCCTAGATCTGGAATCACAACTCCCTCAATTCTTCTCCCGCCTCTCCCCAAGCTTCTTCGCGCCTCCTCTCCCGTTGTTCTTGGATATTGTTGTTGGGTTCGGTTGGTGGATTTGGCTTCGCCACCTCTTGTCAAGACTGATTCGCCCTAGATTTTGGCTTCGGCATCTCTCGCGACCCTTTATCCCACCTCATCGACTCTTCGATTTCTTTTTCAAAGATGAGGCTCAACGCTTATTTGTCGGTGGGGTTTGTGGGTTTGTTCTGTTCGGTGGGTTTTGTTGGCTTTGGTGGGTTTTGTAGGTATGTTCCGTCCGATGGGTTTTGTTGGCAACGACATCAATTTCTGAATTATCCCCTTGGCAACTGCAGGTATAAATCATTTTATCCCTTTTAATGTGATCGTTTCATTGTGCGTGCTCTGAGGAAATTAACATTGGTAGTAGAAAGCGCTGGTTTTAAAAATTTATTACATGTCTAATCTCTCATGAAACAAGGGTTTTGGTATATAGTTGATTATTGATTTTCGGTTCTCTGGATTTTTTGTTATTGCAGTCCTTCAAACAACTAAACCATAGAATAAAAACCTTGATTATATTTGTTTGATCAGCATACATGCTTAGGGTGCAAAATATAAAATAGGTGTTTCACTACTTGATATAGATTTGTGGATATGTAGATATATGGTTTTATGATTTCAATATTTTTATTAGTTATTTAATTATCTTTAGTCTCCAAACATTATTATTGTTAAGTTGTAAATATATACTAATTTTACAATGGATTTAGATGGATAACGTAGATGAAGAACAATTGAAGAGGATGTGTGCTAATACAGATGTGTCTGCGGTGGTCACGATAATAACCTGTATTCTGAGAATGCGTGCTAAGCGCAAGACAATTTCATCTTGTACGAAGGAAGAAAAATCAAAAAAATTTATTGCAGAGAAGCTCACTTCAAACGTGTATTGGAAGGCTATAGTGATAGTTGTCGGTCTTATATTAAAATGAGACCAAGTGCCTTTTTAAACTTGCTGAAGTAATGAAAGAAAACAGTTTATTAAAGGATACCAAACATGTTCAAGTCGAAGAACAGCTCGGTATGTTCCTAAGTATAGTGGGTCATAAAACTAAAAATAGAATAATAAGGACTGAGTTTATAAGATCGGGAGAAACAGTGAGTAGGTATTTTAATAAAATCCTACAAGCAATGAATGAAGCAAGCTCCGAATGAAGTTCCTGCAGATATTGCAAACAACCCAAATTATTTTCCTTACTTCAAGGTAAAAATAATACATACACCTCAACATCTGTTTTAAGTAAATAGGTATTTTATTGAATATTTTATAACTTATATATTTTTATAGGATTGCATTGGTATGATAGATGGCACACACGTTGACGCAGTGTTACCCAGTAACCTAGTTGTCCGTTTTAAAGGGCGAAAAGGTGTGACACAAAACGTCCTAGCAGCATGCACCCCTAATAAACTATTCACCTATGTCCTAGCTGGTGGGAGGGAGCAGAAAATGACTATAAGATATTACAAGACGCTTTGTCGAGACCACAGCCTTACGGGCTTCGAGTTTATGATGATATTAATTCTTACTTGTTCACATTTAAAAATAAATAAATACTTGACAATAGTGTGATCTGAAGATATTGTTCTATTTAATGTAGGTAAATATTACCTATGTGACGTCAGATACACCACAATATCAGGCTTCATATCCCCATATCACGGTGTATGATATCATTTAAAAGAACACACCTGTAGGACACCAAAGAATAGAAAAAAGTTGTTCAATTTAAGGCATTTCTCTTTAAGATCAAAAATTAAATGCACATTTGGTATATTGAAGAACTAGTTTAAAATACTACCGGCGAAGCCAAATTATCCATTTCTCACTCAAGTGGATATTGTACTAGCGTGTACTGTGTTACACAATTTCATTGCTATAGAAGATCAGATGATGATATTTTAAATGAAAATGTATAAATTGATGAAGATAATGGGTAAGTGACAAATGAAGATGACTCAAGTGCGGTGGATTATACTCAAACTAGGACACAGAGAGAGGATCGAGATGAAAGAAATGAATGGAAGGAGCTACGATATCAAATTGTTTGAGCGATGTGGGTGGATTATTGTGCAAAGTATAATGATGGTAACACAATTGAAAGTGGATTAACTTAATGTGATGTTTGTTCTATCTCGATATAATAACTTGTCTCATTTTCTTACTATTCGTAACTATCCATTTTAATGTTTCTTAGCATGTACTAAACATTACTACGATTATCATCTACTCTTTTTTCATGTTGTTTGTGAAATGTAGGTGTTTTATATATTCCTTTTCTAACGTAAATTGCTAAATGCATGCATATTATATATTGATTTAGATTTCTTTAATAATAATATCTACTTGTGCAATATATATTAGGTATGGCTAACAATCAGGCGGATAAGCAGACCATGCCTTCTCATTCTAATGCTCCGTCAAATCCATCTGCTAACATTAACATGAACTTCACGCATGTTCAACCACAACCTTTCTCTTCACCCCGTCATACATTCTCACCATTCTCACTATACGATGTCAATTATGATGGAATGACACAGCAACCAATGTCATACATGAGCATGTTAAGCAGTCCACAAGGTTTACTATTTCCCACAATAAGTTCTCAAAGTAGTGGACCTAATCAATTTTTACCAAACATCGGTGATTCAGTTAAGAAGATTATTCATGACGTTGATGGTGAGGAGCACACTTCACCAATGAAAAAGGAAAAAAATTAGCTCATAAGAAAATGGTCCTGGGGACAAGGTTGAACTCAAGAGGTGTGGTTAATAAGCTTTGGCTTCCAGAACACGATGACGTGCTCATTCCTTATCTTGCAGAATTTGCATTAGATTGGCTAAAGCGAGACAAGAACTTCAAGGCAGAAGCTTATAAAATGGCAGCAATGAAAATCAACATGCAATTCAGGACTGATTTCACTCATATATATGTCATTAACCACTTGAAATGCTTGAGAAACAAATTCAATGACATGAAGACTTGCCTTGATATAAGTGAAGCTGGGTGGGATGAAATAAATAAAATGATTACACTGGATGACGAAATGTTGAAATCATGGTCTCAGGTATAACATTTAGCATCTATATTGTCATTAGTAATTAATACATTTGGTTCACAACTTATGATTATTTGTTATT